GGCTCGCTCTCTTCTTTTTTTTTTTTTTTTTTTTTTTCTTTCTGGGACTTCTAACTGAAGTCCCTCCGGTATCACCGGTATACCGCGGTATTGTGCCACGGTATGCCTACCCAGAAAGTTATAGCATGCCGCAACGCCCTACTCGGAAGAGTATTGCATCCTCCAAGACGATAGAGACCAGAGACATACATGTATGTGTTTGCTCCAAAACGGTCATTTTTAGCATTTTGTTCTGTAACTACCAAAGATATGCAAAACTTGCTAAAATGCCTTTGACCCCTTCAACTTTGGGGTACTTGGAGGAGCATAAAAAAGGAAGATAAATTTATTCCAGAATCTGCAGGATTTGCAAGCAAAGGTCGTGTTTGACAGATATTGATTCAAAATGGTAAAAAAAAACATGTTCTTTTCATTTCACTGACAAAGATTTGGTGTCTTCTAAGCGATTGCTCATCGATGGATTCAGGTTCACACTTCTTGCAATTTCTTATGGTCCGACTAGAAAAATTCGGACCTCGAAATTTCGCATTTGAACCACTGGCAGCTTGTGGGCCTCACTGCGAGCATCCCTCATCTAGAAATACCTCAGATGTGCTCTGATCAATGATAGAGATTGGATTTCGGTGTCACTGGCATTGAGCCACTGATGATGGGAAGATGGTGATGCAGATCTGGGGCTCCTTGCTGAGTCGACCCATCAAAGAAGGGAAACAGGGGAGTCGAGACTTCTTGATTTCGGGTCAGCTTTGAGTTTCCGTGCTGAGGACTGTGAGTCTCTTCATATGACTGACTGTCCATACTCCAGGAATGACATTTCCTGGAGAAGCTTCATGGCATCTGGGAAGAGACTGAATGTAGTGGGAGGAATGAAGTTGTAGATCCCCTTGAACCAGACAGCACTGCTCGAGACAGGAATTGGCCCCCAGGTCAGCATGGGAGTGTGAGGGTTGCTCCAAAGGTTTTCAAACTTTTCACCAACATATATAGATGAAGAAATTCGAGTCAAGTCTTACGAAAAGTTGAATGCACTTCCTGAGTTGCTTGTGCAAGTTTTGTCCTGTTCTGTAGCCACTTAGTGACATAGGAGCACTTGGAGTGAAAGCAGGCAGTGATATCTTGTGAGGTGATTCTGCCCATTGCTGGACAATAAGCCATCATCTTTTTTCCAGATGTTTTCTGCAACAGCAAGAGAGTCTCAGAGTAGCAAGATGAAATGTCCAAGTCATTTCACATGCAATGATGTGCAACAGGTGCTGCCTCCCCAATGTTGGGGAAAATGACTTCAAAGATGATCTGGGTGCCCTCTGACAGCAGTGATCCAACCATACTGACATGCTGCACATACTGATGAGGGTCTTCTTGGATGAGGGACTTCCTTGATCAGCAACTGCAACTGTTTAATGTTTGTTTGGGTCAAGCTGTCAGATGGCACCTAGAGTGGGTCTTGTCTTCAGTCATTTTTTCATTCCATTCCATTTTCATTGGAAGAAGTTGTATCATTTGAACACTACTGTGCACAAAGGGGATTGATCCCCAAAACCCATGGTATTTCATCTCAGTAAGCATCAGCTGAGGAGGCTCCTCCAGTTGTAATAAATGATGGCATGACAGTGACTGTGGTCTGTCATGAAGAGAATCCCTCATCATAAAATGTTCCTACCATCTTCACCTCAAAGTGCTCTGATGTTGCATGACATACAAAACTGGACAAAACTCAAACAAGCATTCTAGAAGCCCATTCAACCAATGAAAAGCCTGGATGAACCAACTTGACTTAATAAGCAGGAGAAATTCATAAAAATGTTTGATACAGCCCTCACATTCAGCATGATATGCATTGTTTCTTTAATTGTCTATGGAAGGGGGGGTTTGAGTGCATCTAAGTTCAACCTGGGGGAGGAGGGACACAAAATGAAAATAGACTCAGCTGCCCAACATTCTGATCCTCATCACAGAGCAGGGGCAACCCTGCTTGACTCCACTCTCTATCTCAACTTAGGTGAGATAGAGAATTCATGCCATATGTATGTATGAGCACCTGGATGAGAAGCAATCATTGGAAGGTGCTAGCCTTCCTCACTTCCAAGAGAATGTATTCTACGGCTACCTTCCACCATAGAACAACTTCCAAGTTAGCAGAGGATGTGATGCTTCCTGGTTATGAAGGATCTCATGAAAATCCACACACCCTTTATCCATCATTCACTCCATGACCATCATGACATCACTGCGAGATAACGCAATACAATCAGCACGAGTTAGAGATGACGAAGTTCTGAGAATTTCTTCAAGGAGGCAAGATGAAAATGAGAATCAGGAGCTTCGTTTCTGCTGTACCATCTCCCTCAGGTTGTTCTCTGCCTCCTTCAGGCTTGTCTCCAGGTATGACTTCTGGTTCTTCAATTATAAAACATGATTCTCCATTCAGTTTCGTCATATTTTGTGACTCAACAACATAGAAGTTAAAAAAAAAAACAAGAAGATAGAGTACATAATTAATGCTGCAATGACATTTCATCAACTTAAAAAAAAATCAATATAGGATATCAGCATCCACCCAACTTAAAATAAAGCTTTTGCAAATGTTACTATCTTCAGCAGATGATGTAAGGAGCTGATATGAGCACTTGAAAGAGGAGGTCCTATGAAGACACACGAGGATACCAGGCCTAATATAGGGCTAGGCCTGGTCCTACAAGAGAAGCCAATGTAGGCTTGGATATTACAGCTGATTAAATGAATGAAAATTGAGTTAGGCTCATGAATAGGATTTATAAATACAGGATATCAACAAATGTGCTGCAGTTGAGTCCCATTTCATGAATATTTTATTTAGATATCTCTTTTTTTTCCAAGGTCTCTGGATGCACATTTCAATTTTGCTGGTTTGAAATGAGAACAAAATGAGAAAACATCAGCATGCAAGAACATGTAAAACCACCTCAATGTCTTTCCACATTAAACATGAAAGCATTGTCCCTACACAGACCACCCATGACTAACTGATTCACTGCCATCACTCATTATTACCTGCAAAGTGCCAATCTTTTCTTCCACAGCTTTGACTTTGTTCTGGAGCTGTGACTCAATTGTCCCTCGATCAGAGAGCACGAACATTCTCCCCAGGCTTTGGTACATCTTCGTCTCCCCTGGAAGGCTCTAGCATGAGGAAAATATTAGATCAGTCCATTAATCATAGAAGTACCACATAGGGAAAGAATCTTCCTCTAGTTGACTTCATGCTTCTTATTGTTGCAAGGGAAGAAAATGAGAGGACACATAGGCTTCTCACAGATGTTATATTGGCTTATATGCACCTCAAAGGAGAGGTGGAGCAGGAATCATATTGAAAACCTTACTATCTTGCCCTTGTAATGGTAACTTGGGCCTTTTTGCACATTTGACACTTTCAGAAGAGACATGGAATCAATTCTATGACAGGAATAGATAAGAATGGTGACTGAGTTCAGATGTGAGCTCCTGTTGTCACAAAGCTAAACTGATAGGAAAATAACATGTTCTCTCTTTTTCAACCATAGATGTCCTTGAAAACATCAATTGACATGAAAGAATTCAGAATTCAGCCTACTACAGAGCAGGAAAGCAAACAGAACCCAGGCCAGAGAAGTGAGGCTCAGGGAAGCAGGAGAAACAAACAAGTCCCTTTTATTTCTCCAGTCAAGAGCCCCATTTCCTCTCCCATGGAGAGTCTTAGACAGAGCCTCAGGCTTGGAAAAACATTCCAACAATCTTACAGCCTCGGAGAGATGTCACAGGCTTCAGTTACCTCCATTCAAAGGTTAGGCCTACTTTGGGTTGGAGAACGATCAAGATGATTTGCATGAAAACAAAGCAAGAAATACATCTCACAAGGGGATTGTAAACTTAAAAATATTCCTTGTGCCAGTTTCATTATAGCCAAAGCTCTGAGGCCTGAATAATTATCTATCGATAGATCCATACAGCAAGAATGTGATGCTCTCCCCCCTTTCAGGCATGGTACAAGGCAGTGGGAAGGGAAACAACCAATGTATTATAAAGATAAAAGTTTTTTTCAAGCAAGAAGAATGATCTAATGGATGTCTCCAATTGTTTCAAGGTAAATTACAAATTACAGAGCACGGAATTGCAGATGTACTCTGGTCTCTATTCTCTTGCCAGGAATGGCATAGCAAACAGGCACAGATTCTGAATAAGCTAACCTAATGAAGACATTTTATGCATCTTGAATAAATATCTATGAAACTTGTCCTATTTATTGAACACTGGGCTGGAAGGAGATTATTCTTACATGAAGATTGAGAGTAGAGCAAGTTCTCTTGATAACATAACCCTTCCATAAAGGCAATTTTCATATTTGTATCAAGCTTTGATGTTTCTGGCAATGAAATTTAACCCTATCTTCAGTTAATCTCCACTCAAGAGTTTCCCAGCTGGGAATAATTGGCCAACTTCATTCAAATTGCAGTCTTCTTGCTAAGAGTGTAAAAATACAATGATGATATCTGATGTATCATGCACACCATTGTATCTCCCATCTTGCTTCTCTTTCATGGAAGCACCCCATCTCCACCCATTCACTAGTAACGTGCAATACTGGTCTCCCTCATGACATAGATTCTATTATTATTCCATATGATTAGAATGCTTGATTTTTCATTATAAGGCAGCAGCAGCTTTCTGGCTCTGGTCTGTTTAGCAGCTATTACTAAGTGATGTAATTTGGAGTTTTAATTTCATATTTATTGAGCCTCCTTCAACTGAAAATGAGTTTTACCTTCTAAATCACTTCTTAGTTACTTATCAGAAATTAATTTAAACAATGTAGGTATAAGGATCACATGAAGACCACAGAAGGGAAGAGATCCAAGGCCCACTCCTTTTTCTCATACACTCACTTTTTTTATTGTATGAGGCCTAGGTTTACTTTTGACTGAAAGAAGGATTTTGAAAGAAAAACCATACCTTAATTTCTCTTTCGGTGAGTTGCGAATGAGTGATGACACCTTTCAATTGCTCAATCTGGATGTCTGCCAATCGCAGCTTCTGTGAGGTCTCTATCATCTTGTGCTGGAGCTCTACAAATGCCTGTCAACAGAAAAACACCTTCATGCATTTTCCGGCATACTTCAACGATCGACGTTGACCAAATGAGAGGCTAAAAGCCCCTCAACGTTTTCACATCGAGGGAACCAAATTCAAACCAGCTGAATAACTTAACTCACCTTTCTCAGTTCCATGTCAACAGGTCTGGACATTCTAAACAAAACCACAGGTCTTCTTAAAGCAGACAGAGATAAGCCTCTTCAGTATTAAGAAGTAGGAAGACACGGAAACGAAACCTAGATTAATGAGCACGTGAGTCGTCGGATGAGTGCCATCCAGGCTGCCATCTTATAAGCACGGATGCCAGATATCCCGATAAGGTGGCAGTGCCGTGCACATTCAAGTGCCTCTTAATCTTCAGCTCCAATGGGGTCTGGTACTGACTAGAGGCAGTATGGACGCAATGGCACGCTCCTACATGGACTGGAAGAAGCTCCAGTGATCATTTTCGTCGCCACGTAGGGATATTCATAATTTCTGTCACAAGATGGAGCCATGGAGACATCCAATGCACTTCTATCATATCACCTTACTTAATCCACATGTGGGAAAATTACATAATGGAGGAGTTCTCTGGGAAAAGGGTGTATGTGCAAAATATGCATACGAGATAAACAGCAAAAAATTCCCATAGCTTATCCATAGTTGGTCAAAACTCAGTTTTCAGTGAAATGGTATCTTAGACCTTTTCTCAGTTGAACTTGGGGTTTCAACGAATTTATTTATCTCACGTTGCAGGGATGCAGGCAGAAAGTGTTCATGCACATACACCCTTTTTCAGCATCCGCACTGCGAGAACTTTTTCCAACCAGTCGTTCACCACCTCTTTCCATTTAAAAATCATAATTTACCCATAAATACATCTGCAGATTTCAAACCAACTCTTCGCCAAAGAATGGCAATTGAAATGCAAATATTCAGGACAAGATTCATTCACAAATTACTCGTCAGTGATCCATTATTAATTTATTCATCACTTGAATATCCAACCGTTTCACGACAACGGGTGAGATGCACCAGATCTGTTTAACTTTAAAGTAGGGCTGTCACGATAGCAGTTTTCAAAACATTGATGCATCGACCTAAACTATCGATAGTGTATCGATGCATCGGGGGGGGGCGGAGGATTCCATATTTTCTTGCTGCGATCGGAGCGCGGACCTCTATCCGGCTTCCATAATCTCACGCTTGTGATCAGGGGTGCAATGTGTGACCTTCGCAAAGAGTAATGAAACCTATCATGACTCCAACTATCGAAGAAATTTCCCCTTTAAAATATTTTGCCGATGCATCGCGATGGTCGAAAAAAATATCGATATCTCCAACTATCGATCTATCGTGACAGCCCTACTTTAAACTGATTCGTTTTCATAATGGGCGTCTATGGAAATATGTTTATCTTGGTTAAACTGATTCCCATAAGGAACCATTGTGAGATCAGATTAGTTTAGCTTAAACGGATTCGGTGCATGTCACCCAACTTCTTGCATCCTTCCAGAGGCTTTGATGACTGGATCACGTTCTTCCCCCTTCCTCTTGTCTACTTTTCCCCTCAAACTCACTTCCAATTCGAAAGAATCAAATTATTTAATCAAAATCGTTCAATGATGCAGATGTCAATGAAATATTCATGGAGGCGGCCATATTGAAATTTTCAGACAGATGGCCTGCTATGTAATGTAAGTATAGGAAAATCTGTTTCTCCTTTGCTGAATACACCTATTAACGAACTGCTGACCACCCCATCCCATGACAAGTCACCTAACTCGGCCCATGGACACGGATGTGGAAAAAGGGCATAAGGGCACTTACGCCCTTTTTCTAGAGAACTCCTCAAGTGTAATCTTCTTTTCTAATTCAGCAGATAGTTGGAAGAAGGAAAATTACCTGGGCTTTAGATTCCACATGCCTCGAAGACTATAAGGATGTCGCAGCCCTTAGAGGCGCGACGAATAATTTTATCACGGCAGAATCCGTGCGGTCTACCCTTCGCACCAGCCAGCCCTTTTATTTGGGGTCTCAAGTTTCTTTTTGCAGATGACAGAAAGAATTGCCTGAGGTCAGTGGCGTATTTTATGGAGAGGCAGGTGGAGCGGCCCCTTCGAGGTAGTATTTTTTCCCCCTGACTCTCAGCAAAATACGCCACTGCCTGAGGTGGAAAATGTGAATGCATCCCGGTCAGGAAAGCTCGTTTGGTCTCTTATTTATGATGAGGTAAGATTTATTTTAATATTTAGGTAAGTGCAACACAGCGATTGGGGAAAAAAAAAAAAACATTGTGCCAGTTTAAGAGAAAGTCGGAAAATTCTCCAAACGCGAAACGCAGGAAATGGTGCCAGGCGTTGCTACAAGTGGAATATTTTGGTGTTTTATTTTTCTGCAGTTTCTCTTTTTTTTGTTGCTTGAAATGATGCTATGTTCAAAGTCTCAAAATTGTGCATTAAGCTCTTTCACAAACTCATTCTAAATAGCAATGTATATTTTATTACTAGGGCTGTTTCATACCAAACTGAATTCGTTGTTCTTTCGCTGCATTCGAGAATATATGATATCAGGGCCGGATTAAGAAGTTGCGAGACCCGGGGGAAAGGGAATTCCTGAGGCTTCCCCCCCTCCCCGCTACTTTACGCACTTACAATACTTTTTTGTACTTAACGTTTTTAATTTCCTTCGGGGGGCCCCCCTGGAAGAGTGGGGCCCGGGGCAACAGCCCCCTTTGCCCCCTCCCCCCCCCCTTAATCCGGCTCTGTATGATATAATAATTTAATAAAAACAACAGAGGGTCGCATATTTAATATTCCTTCGTATTTTTGCTTCTTGGCTTCCACCTTAATGAAACTAGTAACGGTCAAAATCCTCATGTTTTCCCCCAGGCCCATGATGACAATTACATCAATCCCAGTAGTGCCCAACGGGAACCAACCGGCGAACTGGCAACCCTGCTGGAGGACCACGTGCGCCACGCAGGAAGAGTGAGCTTTTTGTCACGCAGAGACGGAGAAGCAAAGGCGACGATCCGGCGAGGCAGTCGTCCTTGGACCGACGTGGAGGCGAAGGGTGTCTCGTTCTCTCCCACCTCTGTTGCCTAGGCCTCGATAATGCTTGCTTATCGGAGTGCCTCGAAGCTCGGGGACTCGGTCGAGTGCCGTTCATGTGGCCTGGGAAGCCCTCCGAGCCCGCAAATAGGTGAAACCTAGCACCTACGCATCGATATGTTCGTATGGTTACGATTATGTTGCTTACCCTCCCATTCTATCATATTTCACGTGTCGTGAACCCAACAACAAGCCGCTCGAATCCTGCCTGCATATGAATAAGCCTGTGCTTAAGCCATTGGAGGAGGTAGGTACTGAGCAATAACGTGAGCAAGAAATTATGACCCTTGCCATTCCCTCACTGGCGGCTCGTGAGAATAGGCAAGGCACACCCATTTTTATTATGAGTTCTTAAATTATTACAGTACTTGTTTACCAACAAGCATAGCCGGAGCATATGACTTTGCTTCGCGCGTTGAGCTTTATGGGCAGTTCACAGAAGGATGAGAATCGCTTGCTCCGGTTCCAAGTTTTCGTCCCCCGGCTAGATTCCGTTTCGGCCCTACCCCGATCCGTTTTTCCTCCCAAATAGCAAGCGAACTCCAAACTCATCTGGCCATTAAAAGCATTCTCATCATTGACAGGAAAATTTTCCTATCGGATAAAGCTACATTTTCCACTGAGCGAAAGGAAACTGCACACCGAACAAGAAATGGCGCGACGTTCGCCCCACGAATCTCATTGACGCTCGGTTATTCGCTCTGTCGGCAAAGAAAAGTGGATAGAGCCATTGGATGTTATTGAAAGGAAAGTAAGAGGCGCTTTGGACCAGAATAGAGGTGATCATTTCGCTCTCCAAGGACCTACCGATCTTGGTTTGAGATTCTATTTTCAAGTTTCTTGTGCAGATTGGTATAATAATAAACTTAAAAATAGATAGGTCGAGGTCAGGTTCACTGGAACTCGGGGTTATGGTGAGGTCTCCCCCGATCAATGTCACTGGCGTTTCCATAAAAGAAATTGAGGGGGGTTACCTTTTTTTCCTTAGACTGCAAAGACTAAACTGACTGGGGGTGGGGTCTAAATTAGAATTTAAATCGTGACATCAAGTAATGAAAGAAAAAAAGAGGATATCTTAGCGACTGAAGTTAGTTGTTTAGCGCTGCGACTCTGAACTGCCGGTCTGCGAGACGACTAGTAAATTGAGGGAATTTTTACCGCAAAATTACGTTTAGAAATTGATTTAATAATAGATGTCCCTGGTCCCCGGCCCATAACTGCTTCCCCTGTGCACGAACTGTCTTCCTGGGACGTTTGCCTCTTTTCATGTTAGGAAAGGATGTTGCCGGGGAGAGGGAAGGTCCGGGGTAGGTTGGGGCCAGGTGCAAGAGCGGGGGGTATGTGATCAAGATGCAGAACTGCCGGTGCGCAGCGCTTTTGGGAAAATTGAACCGGCCAGCGATGACACAAAGTTGAGAATACAAGCACTGACAGTCGGTCCTTGGCGTTGGCTGGTAAAGTAACCGATGTACATTAATGAGCGAGCAATGCGAACCCCCACTGCTCTATCGGGATCCCGGGACTTCGGCCGCGTGGATTCCCCGAGCGACGGACTCTGGACGGATGGATGTCAGTCGTCCTCCACTTGGGAGCAATGATGCGCGGAGGTCGGATCTGTTGGGAGTTCTCTCGTGGCATGGAGTACTTTCAACGACCTGTCGCTCCGTTGGAAGTGCGAGGTTTTAACCTCATCGGTGGCCTCGCCTTGAAGTCTACCGGGATTCCGTGATACGCGGCTTAGTGCCTTGGGCAAGGTTGGTTGGAAGGGTCCGAGTCATCACATGAGGGTGCTGGATGATTCCCCCCGTAACACATATAAATATTAACATTACTTTGCTTACAAGCATATCTCCCTCTCAGACAATATGTAAACCATAGAAGCACTCTCTATGCTGCCGAGTCTCACGGTCGCATAGGCTGCCGTCCCAGCTGGCGTGAAACGTGGATCTCTCGTTCCCGTTGGAGTGGATCGCTCGCTACGATCCTCCTACTTGTGTGTATGCTCGAAGGGACATGAAGCGTTCTTCAACGCCGGTTAGAGATAAGGCCGATTTCATCCCAGGCTGAAAGTCGGAGTTCCTGAAAGCCTTTTTGTGTACTGAGAAGCCGCTCTAGAAATTCATTCTCATCCTGCCTCAACTTTTTTTTCCCCCTCTACATAGCTTGTCCATTATTCATGCTTTCATTCTTCACCCTTGCCTTTCAAGAGGTAGGGGTAATGGTCGGTGATGAATTAATTTATTCGAAGACGGTATCCATGTAGCGCAAAAGTAGTGGGCCATAAGCGGCCCAGGCATTACACTGGCGGATTTCTGCCGGGGGCGGGAACGTGGCGGCAAGGGAGACATTGTGTTGCTGATCCGCTATCTATTGGCTCGTGGAGGGCCACCAACTCCCTGATATGTATGATATATATATACATGATTCGTAGACTTCTGCTCTCCCCGCTAGGTGTCCGTATTGGATGCGGAAGAAGAGAGCAGTGGGTCATCTTGGTACTCTTGAGTACTCTTCTGAGTAGGCTCCAGAGCCAAGATTTATAGATGAATCGGATATACATGGAGGCATTAGGACCCTTCCCAGCTGGTGGTACAACGCAAACAAGCTAACTGGTAATGTGCTGGCTCTTTAGCGGCCCGGATGGGGCGGGCAAGTGGGACATGTACCTGGTGGCCCAGTGAAGTTGGTGGGCCACCAGCTTTCTTCCCCAAACGTAGGTAGTGGGCCACCACCTACCTGCTACTTGGGTAGTTAAATGCATCAGGATTTAAAATACTGTCCGGCATTCCGTGTTATTGTCCCATCATTATTTCTCACCCCCCCCCATTTCATGCATTGTCATATTAAGAGTATTGTGTTCATTTTTAAGATCCTGCAAATGAGAGTGATTCAAAGGCGCTGAGAAGGATTCAAAGACGGGCTATTGAACGATACGGGAAGTACGGGGACACAAATACGAAGGGCGTTTAGAGGCGTGGAAAGTGTATTCGCGCCAGAGAGCATGTTACAGCTGTGCTACTTAACAATTAATTTAGTTACATTTAAAAAATCCGGTTTCCTACTCCCCTCGGCCGATTACTCCCTTCAGACAACCAATGGCTATGGCCAGCGGACTTCATGTCAGGACCAAGGAGAATGTGCAGATGATAGGGTCATAGGCTCATAGCCCTGGCCAAACCAGTGAGGGACGCGGCATCCTCACCTACTTCGCTACTGCTGGTGGGAGCTCAACTGTCGGTGGGTTGGTTGGCGGGTGTTGGTTGGTCCAGAAGGTTTTAGTTACGAAAGGGAACTGTTAGTTAACTGTGGTGAAACTGGTAGCCTGCTGTGACTACAACTGATTAGGTTGCCAAAAGGAAGGAAAGAAGATTATGGAGAAATACTGGTATTAGGTATAATGAATGTATTGAAATTCCTTAATTGGTATTGGGAACTCCAGGACTTCAAGAAGAAGCATGAATCTCAAAAAAAACAATCTGAACAATTTAGAACTCTCATGAAGAGGGAATGTTGGAGAAATTGAGCAAGGTTAAGAAAGGCCTTAATGGAAGCATTTACAGTATATTCTTTTCAGAATATAAAAAAAATAAAGTAAGGAAAAAAACCTGTTGATAATATAATATAATAAATATGTAAATCTTGTCAGTATTTGCTTTTTGTATTCATCTTTATCTTCAGTACCAATCATGGACTGTTGACATTAGGTAAGGGCTTAAGAGAAATGCTTTTGGGTGCTAAACACAAGAAAGCATCAGCAGCACTAAACAAGTTTGGGAAATTACAAGAAATTAAACTCTTTATTGACATTTATAGGCAGATTGATATATCTCTTCCTTGTGTGATGTTGACCCTCAAGGATTTTTTTTATTCAATCCAGTCATTCTTAGGTCTTCCAGAAAAGTCTAATCTGAAATAGCTTGAACACAGGTGCAAGTAGCTTGGACACAGGTACAGAATCCAAAGATGCCTACTCGAGATCCCCAGATACTCTACACCAAGGTGAGACAGGGTAATAGTAGATATCTTCGACCTGGTAGAGTCAAAAAGGGTCAATATAATATATAATATTTTCATCTCAACAGCTATTCATCAACAATGAGTTTGTGGATGCAGTGAGCGGGAAGACCTTTCCAACCCTGAATCCCTGCACGGGGGAGAAGATTTGCAGTGTGGCTGAAGCAGACAAGGTTACATTTCTGCCTCCCTTGTGCTTGAAAAAGAAAGGAAAATACTCTAGCAAAAGGAAGCAGCCTTAATTTGAAAAATTTTAGGAAAAAAAAAGCTAAGTTGCTGGATTTATTTTAGAAAACAATCCCTAACCGATTTATTTATTTGATTTTTGCAGGCAGATGTGGACAAGGCAGTTGAGGCAGCACATGCTGCCTTCAAACTTGGATCACCCTGGCGCACCATGGACGCATCCGAGAGGGGACAACTCATGCACAAATTGTGTGATCTCCTTGCACGGGACAAGGACTACCTGGCTTCTTTGGAGACTCTGGACAATGGGAAACCTGTGGAAAATGCTGCCTCTGATGTTGATGCATCCATTGGGACCCTGAGATACTTTGCAGGCTATGCAGACAAGATCCATGGAAAGACTATCCCTGTCGGTCTGTATTGCAATTTGGTGTCTTGAGAAAACTCTTGTTTTTGCTGCTAAATGACTGAAACTTATTCACAAAAGCTGAAGGAATCTTGGAACTACAGGAATAGTTTCTGTTAATTTAGCATTTATTCTGACCATGTTCTGCTTTAGACATCTCAGAGTGTTTTACCATTCTTTGAATAATGTAGAACTAGTTGAAAGTTGATGTTGATCAAATTATGATTGCCTTACTCCTTACTCATTACTCTTAGGTTAATTTTATCATTATAAGATGGTGGTGCAGCCAGACTTGAGGTTTGGAGGTGGGGGGGGGGGGGGGGGAAGGGATTTGATTAGTGCCTGGCTTCTGTAATCAAAAGGAAAGAAGTTGAAAGGGCTTTGGAAGATGGAGGTTGGAGGGGGGATGTGCTGAATGAAGGGAAGATGGTGGGATGAGAGAGCTGAGGAAAGAAGTTAGAGGGGATGATGTGTAAAAATTTCATTGAATGTACAGGGTGACTATTTTCAGTGTTACTGATAAGCTCTCATTGTTATAATTGACTACTGATTTTAATGAGTAATAGCTCAATTTAAGACTGAAGCTCTGCAGTTTTATTGATATCAAAGAAATTTGATCAATTGTACTGGAATTATGCTAAAATATGTTCAAGATGCCCTCTGTTTTGATTTTGGCATTCCCCACAGCTTGACCTGGTCTCCATGAATTTAGTTACTATCCACACCCTTTGCTCTAGCAAATATTGACCCCTCATGGTAAAAAATCTGCAACGAAACAAAACAAAACTGCATGAGACCAGCTTTCTGAAAATGTGTCACTCAATGCTCTACATTGAAAATTGTGTACACGGTGAGCCATTAAAATCTGTAACATTGAGAATTGTCACCCTGTACATATGTGTGCTATGATCAGAAGAAAGGCACTCACCCCTCCCCCCATGGCAGCATTGCTGTTGCTGAGTTAAAGTAAAGTGCAGAATAATGACTGGTAATGATATCTGATGCAATGCAAGTATCCGGAAAAGTTTGAAATTGTCATTTGAGGTTAGACCCAGATCATGTCTACTCTTGGTTCACACAGATGGTGACTTCATTTCGATGACCAGGCTGCATCCAGTGGGTGTGGTGGGTCAGATCATCCCCTGGAATTATCCCATATTGATGCTGGCATGGAAATGGGGGCCAGCCTTGGCTGCAGGTTGCACCATTGTGCTCAAGCCCGCTGAGCAGACTCCCCTCACAGCACTCTACATTGCTCACCTTACAAAGGAGGTGGGCCATGGTTTTAATTTATGGGATTTCATGAGTTGCCTTGTTTGACCATGAAAAGGTGTGACATTAAAGGATTTGTCAGAGTGAAGTAAAGTTCTGTGGGTATCACAAGCCTCCTTGAATGAATATTCTCAGAATGGAGATAGATTCAAGGAATGACCATCACTGCATGGAAGGAAGGGTCAAGAACTGAAGTGGATATTTTTCCTTCTATGAAAAAAAGACTGATAAAGTAGCATTGTATACATATATGTGTATGTGGGTCTCAGTATATATATTTATAGCCTGCAATTCTTGCATATGTGGGATTAGTTTGGAATGTCTTGGTTACATGTACAATTGAATGGTCCCACTAGGCAGGTTTCCCACCAGGTGTAATCAATGTGGTCCCTGGCTATGGTCCCTCTGCTGGAGTTGCCATTTCCCACCACCCTCATGTTGACAAGGTGGCTTTCACTGGCTCTGTAGAGGTCTGTTTAGTATCCTTCCTCTTTTCATGTTTTTGCAATATGATCAGAGTCGTTTGGATTAAATTTAGTCTGGTGGCGTTGTCTAGACCAGGGGTCTCAAACTCGTGGCCCACAGGCTTGTATGTGGCCTGCATATGCTCTCAGTGCAGCCCGTGACCCACTTGCATACACTGAGAGAGAAATGTTGCAGGCCCATTATACACAATCAAGGAAAACCTTCTGACTTTTTTCACTTTGGCCCACAAAGAGGTCCAATCTTGATGTCCCCACACCAAAATGAGTTTGAGACCCTTGGTCTAGACTATGGTAGTATTGAAAATAAAGTAAATGTATTTAAATATGATTCTTAAACATCATTTGGCTTCTATTTATTTTGGTATAGGAAGCTATTTTATGAATTTATTGGAAAAATGATTTCAAAATTATTTTTATTTATGGCTTGACTATTATTTTAAGTCATTATCAGTTCACATGCTAAATCTGTAGGAAGTCAGATATTTGTGTGATGAATTTTTATTTACCATTCTGCACTTCAATTGGAAAACCATGACATTTTCTCGCTTAAGGTTGGGAAGCTGGTGATGGAAGCCTCAGCAAAGAGCAACTTGAAGCGAGTGACCCTGGAACTGGGTGGGAAGTCACCACTCATTGTCTTCTCTGACTATGACTGTAAATCTCAGTTTCTTTGGTCAAGAGAAGAATGACTTAGTGACTCATCCATGATATTTATATATGATAAATGTCCTTGATTGCCCTGTAGTGGATGAAGCCGTGTCTATCTGCCATGATGCTATATTTACCAACCACGGGCAAAACTGCTGTGCTGGATCAAGGACATTTGTTCAAGCTGAGATCTATGATGCTTTCGTCTCTAAGGCCAAGCAGAAGGCATTGAGCCGCAAGGTTGGGGATCCCTTCCTGGATGACACTGATCAAGGACCACAGGTTGGTCATGCTCTTTCTTGTGGTTTGATCATGCACAGCATCCATGTCTGAATGAGAAGAATGAGACATTATTTTGCACTTATCCCCATATCCTTTCTTGCAGTGCCTCCTGCTTACCACCTGCTTAGAATATTTGCCATGCATAATATATCTTGCAAAATTTAAATAATTTGAGGTATTGGAGTCCATAGATTTTACACAGGCTTGAGAAAGGAGGTCTGATGAGTGTTGTCCATCTATAGGATCCCACAGACATCTTGTCTTTTTATTATAATAAATATTTATGGGACATCCATTGCACTTTCAAAATGTGAAGAATTTGGATGTTCTGGATGGTCATCCCATGTACATCCTAGGGATATGAAGTATGGGATGTGGGAGGAATCAGCAGAAAGGATTTCCATGGGATGATCCCATGTTGCTTGGTTAGTATGGGATGCCTGGAAATAATATTGTCCCTCAGCAGTAGCTAACATAGCAAAAGCTGGGTTGTATGATTCTAATGGCCTTTTTAAAATTTATTTATCCTTTGTCTTTTCAGAAATACAATGAATGGTTTATGGGAGGGTGATATTGAGAAAAGACTTTGGACTGACAAGATTCATGAAATGCTTTTCTTGTCATGAATGATGCTAGTGCAGCCTTTATATTGTGATTTTGAGTAGCTGGAAACATCAGAAGAAGTGAAAGTGTGAAGTTTCTTGAAGATCGTTAGTGGGAGGATATTGACTAATGTGAGGGAAATTTCTGTGACTGTTGTCCTGAAAGCTTTCATGAAAAATCAAAGGGTATTGATCAAGGAAGCATCAGGACTCTAAAGGAAAGATGTCTTGATATCTCAAAAGAGATTCTTGTAAGATTGAGAAAGATGTCAACTTAGGCAATGAATGATGTAAGGTTTACCAACTAGAGGCAGCTTGGCTATCCCATGGAGGAAGCACCAGGCTCTGAGACACCTTGGAAGGATATTGAATAGCATCACCTGATTTCAGATGATACCATTTGGTTATTTTGAGTTCATTGATCTCCTAACTTGGACAGTGCATGTATACCAAACGAAAGATTTAAAAGTTTGTATATACCGTATTGCCCTTTGCCATCCCATATAAATACAGTAGACAAACCAGGAAAATGGATCAGGAGATTTCTGCAATATCATGCCCCAGGACTCCCTAAGAGTCTTCTATTGCAGGTGGATGAGGAGCAGTTCAAGAAGATCCTGGATATGATCAATTCAGGGAAGAAGGAGGGTGCCAAGCTAGAGTGTGGAGGAGACCGCTATGGGGATGCAGGCTACTTCATCAAACCAACTGTCTTCTCGAACGTCACTGACAACATGCGCATCGCCAAGGAAGAGGTCTCATCTTTTCCTTTTTTTTTCTTGACTGAAGTTCCCAAAGACCCAGAGGTCATAGAATAGTCAGGGAAATGGGATAAAGGTACAAAACCAGGGAAAATTACACAGGTTATGTAAAAGTTAGTGAATTTGATGCAAAGTTAAGCAAGTAAGGAAAGCCGTTAAGAGGTAATGGAATGTTTGTTTTGTGGACAGAAATGCACATTTTTGTAAAGAAAATAATTTTGAAGTCCTCAAATGGATGTGGAAATGTTAGAACAGAGATTCTGGTTTTCCTCTGGAAAGTCTTCTCATTTGGTGCCATGAAGGGCCCCTTCAAAGAAAGGATATATATTTATTTGTAGAAAAATGACAAAATAAGTGTTTGATGCAACTAAATTTTGGAATGAGACTTCTTGAGGTATTCAGAAATTTTCCTTTCAAATATGCAAGGATAAAGAGCATAGTCAAGCTCCTTTCCCATATAGCTGCAGATATCCTCATAATTGTGGTTATTCCCTACAGATTTTTGGACCAGTCCAGAGCATCATCAAGTTCAAGACTCTCGAAGAGGCAATTGAGCGAGCGAATGAAACAACCTATGGCCTTGCTGCTGGAATCATCACCCAAGACATCAACAAAGCCCTGACTTTTGCCCAGAGTGTACAGGCTGGCTCTGTCTGGTGAGAACTCCTTGCATCTGTTCAAAATGTATGGAGATTGAAATGAGATTCCATCTGTCCCAGCATTGTTTGAGATAGACATCTGAATGAAAAATTAGGAGTTAGACCTGACAGAAGTGTAAAAAAATGGTCATGCATCAAGAGTTTTATTTTGCAAAAAATTAAAAATTAAATGCTTCCTCATATTCTGCTTGCTCCTTGAATAGCCTGGTAGAAAAAGTCATCTATATAAAAACTTCCAAAAATAAACTTGACATTGTTCTTGTTACAGGGCTCAAAATTCATGGGAACCTTGATCCTTGACCTTGACCTTGAGTCCTAGACTCCAAGATACTAGATTAGATCCTTGTGTGTCAGGACTCTCCAACTGTTGGGCTTTTCTGAATTTCAATCCTTGTGTTAAGTTTGGAAATGTTCTTCAAAAGGTGGCTCTTTGTATTCATTCAATTCCATATGCTAGAGAATTTAGGGTGCTATTGAAAAACTGTTGATGCATTTTCAAGACCTTGAATGATATTCATCAATGTTTTTGTGGCCAGATTGAAATGGTCAGATGGGTTTGTTATCTTAGAACTCTTACTTGTGTTCCAGGATCAACTGCTATGATGCAGTCAGTACACAGGCCCCATTCGGTGGCTTCAAACAGAGTGGGCAAGGCCGAGAACTGTGAGTTTCATTTGTCGTTTACATTTTTTTTAGATTAATGAAAACTATACCAATAAATTCTCTAATATTCCCATTTCCCTGGGACAGAGGAGAGGATGCACTGAAGGAGTATGTCGAGATCAAGACCATAACGATCAAGGTCCCCCAGAAAAACTCATAAAAAGCGTCACCATGAGTATTCATTGATCAAGTTTTCATGGCATCAGGATTTGGATTCTCATGATCTTCTGGAAATTTTTTTTGGGATGAAATACTAAGAATCATGGCTCACATTGTTCTCTTTGATTTGGCATAATCTTTTCACTTTTGTCCAGCTGGCTCTGGTTAATTCAATTTGATCATTTCTGCTTGGGCATTGCCCCGTTTCCCTGTCCGATTTGTGAATGCACTGCAGCAAGCTCATTCAATCATGACTGAGGGGGAATGATGTATATCATGGAGATACATGTAATTTGAAGTAAACTTGGAAAAATTTATTCATATTTTATTCTCAACTTTTCAGCACCAGCACTCCATCAAGTTCGATAGTTGATACTGCAGTGACATTGGTGAAAGTTTTCTGCAACGTTTTAGCATCTGAACGACTACACTGTTGCGAATGGAATTTCATTTTCAAGTGATGCCTGGTCGACATTGCCCATCGACTTGCAACAAAACGGAAAGTCGAAGTTAACAACATTTGAGAAATGTCCTCTCAGCATTTTATGCTGGCTGGAACATTAACAATATTTTTTTGTTTATTTATTATTTATTTTCATCAAAAATTTCCTTGTAATTTAATTTATAATTGGTTAAATTGTTTTTGCTTATCATAATTAGTATCATCGTTATAATCTGAGCTGCGATTCCTTATAGCTCGGATGCGACCCAAAGATCTCATCGGCAAGTAGCTCTCATGTATCTTGCAAGGGGTTTCCCCTCCAGTTTGCAGTGGCCAACCGGGGGGGGGGGGGGGGGGGGGGGGGGGGGGGGGAGGCCCCCCCCCCCCCCCCCATCTTGCAAGGGGTTTCCCCTCCAGTTTGCAGTGGCCAACCGGGGGGGGGGGGGGCTGGGGCTGAAGTCCCGCCACCCCCTATCCTTCCGTCCTAGGTGAATTTACTAGCCCCCTTTGGCGAAATCCTGTCTGCTCCAATGCCAATTTGTCGGTCATTTTTTGCCGTCAACTATGCTATGCTGAGGTGAATTTTTATTTAAACTTCAAGGATAAGGGTGGCAATTGTTACTACAGGCAACAACTTTTTCGCCTCCTCACACTCGGCGTTGTCGGTTTTCGCTCACCCGATCTCGAATTATTGATTTCAGCTGTTCATTTGAAGAACAAGTTTTTACTGAAATTATTTTGAAAACTTGATAAAATTTGAAACTTTTGTAGTTCCGATAGCAGTCAAGTCCATATTTTCTGCCTTACGCATATCAACAATCCTATGATATAACCAGTTTTGGGTGGTAATGAAGTAAATGTAACGCGTTACAGTAACTAATTACTTTTTCCAGTAACTTTTTTGGTAACGAGTTACTTTTCAGGAGAAGGTAACAGAACTGGTAACTAGTTCCTTTTTTATGAGAAAAGTAAGTGGCGTTACTGTAACGCGTTCCTTTTCTTGATGATTAACGAATTTTGTTGAAAACAACCAGCGCTTCCTGACTACATGCATCCTAATTGATGCAAAATTGGGAGTAAAGGCGGGGACATGAGTTGTCTTGAGAAATCATGGTTTATTCAGTGCAGGTTTCTTGGCCGTACCTGCAAAAATATTTTGAAGTGCAGGTGGTTAGGAATGAAGTCGAGAGTTCCATCGATGCAATGGCGCATTTTACGAGGAGGGGGTAGGGGGCAGCCGCCTACCCTGGCGCCCCTAAGACATACACTGGTGCCCCCTTAAAGGTAATACTTTTCTCTCCCGATATCACTTGGGTGGGGTTTGCTTATGTTGCTTTGCGTTTCGTTGCCCTGCCCCCCCCCCCCCCCCCCCGCCCCNNNTGTTTTGGGTTTCGTTGGCCTCCCCCCCCCCCCCCCCCCGACCCTTCATCCAAAATACGCCGCTGCATCGATGCAAACCAATGTGTGAAGTGCTCTCTCTGTTTACAGATGGCCAAGGTACTTTCTGTCGCGCGAACTTCAGCACCTAACTTGAGAAAGCATGTCTCGATTAGCTCCATCGTGTCCATACAGACAACCTTTGGTCTAACGTTAGGTCTGAATGATAGGCGTTGCTTTGGTTTTGATAGTGCATCTGCATGGAAACCTTTCATATGCCTAGCGTTGACACCTCTCTCCTAAATTCTTTCTGATCCCCTTTAGGCTCAGCGGGCGGGTATACCCTGGCTACCTTGCCGTATTTCAAGTGCCCCGTTTTATCACCCTCCCAACAATCCTTCATTTGTTAGACTCCGTTAATACTTATAGGCCTAGCATTCGCACTTCCAAGTGTAGATCCTAACTTAACATACAGTGATTTGCGAGTGAATTTATACCACTTTTAACATGAACGCCTTATATCTAATTCCCCATATTTAATGGTCGAAACACCCTCATATACTTGATTGCGTCATAAAAATACCATGTACATTGTAAAAAGTTAGTGAACATTCATTTGTGCAGTGTATGTTTGATTAAGGGGAAACGAGAGAACATGACTACGGTTTTTTCTATTCCTCTACCGGGAACTCATGATAGGGGGCGGGCTGGGGTAGATCTTCCCATCACCAAGGGCAAAATTGGCATTTTTTAAAACTAAAGGGTGCATTCTAACTATCAGCTTATAATTCCTGTGAAGTATCCCATGGGGAAGGAAAGAGAAACAGGGAAAAGAGTGAGCATGAGTATTTATCCAGTTCAGTTGTGATCATAATTCAATTTTCATGAAATCAGGGGTAACTATCGCTTTTACTGCATGCATCCAGCTTCTGTCAAAGAGGTGTAGAAAGATCAGAATTTTTGTTCAAGAATAGTAACTTGAAAAGTAACTTCTACTTGTAACTCGTAACTTTCGGTGAAAGTAATTCTACTGGTAATTAAATACTTTTTGGATGGAATACTTGTAATTGTAAAGTTACTTTTCACAAGTAACGCGCCCAAAACTGGATATAACTTAAGGAAAACTAGCAAAGTTGAAGGGAATGTAATTTATGAAGAAAGTTCCCTCGAATTTTTCAGAAAGAAAAGAGATCCCCTCCTTTGATAAGCCCTAGATGCGCACAGAGACATGACTGACATTGAAACAATCCCTCAGCTTGAATTGCTACGGTAGTCATCCAAGTCAATCATTAGTCATCCAAGAAAAGTTCATTAGGGAAACGAGGAAAATTCTTGGGGCGCCATAGGTCTTGAAAGGGATCATGCATTTTCATTTTTGTTTTTTTTTTTTCCCCCCCTCTAGGGGATACCCCCCTTCCCCATCCTTCCTCCTCTTGGTTGCACCACTGCGCCACCTTTTCGCACGAGCTAAGTCCAGTCCACAGGATTTCCCAGACGTGGTTATCGGATTCAAGTGAAAACGCGTGGAACTCGAGAAAAAAAAAGCAGAGAGAAAACGGAGCCTGACGTCCTTGGGCCGACCTGTATGAAGGCCAAGGGCATTCCATTCTCTCCCGTCCACCCCAAACCGCATTCAGTTCTGAGGCCCCAATCGGTCTTGACAGGGTGCCGGCGGGGGGTCGGACGCGTCTCCTGTGATGTTTCGTGTGGAAATGGGCGGCGTGGAACGTGAATTTGTCTTCTTGCTCCTAAGTCTAAGAATACCGTGTTCTATGGTGGCCGGACGTCCCGGTTTTTCAGGCTATGTCCTGATTTGAATTTTCCTTTCCTTTCTGGTGTTCCGGCTTTTCCGCATCGCAGGAACTAATATTTGGGTATTTCATTGAAAATCGGTTTTTCCTGAAGAAAATTGGTCACCCTACTGTATTCGCACATATGGTTGTGGTTAGTCATGTCGCTTCCCCTTCATGTTCGATTCAGCCTCTGCTAATCACTGCCTGGCTTAAGAACAGCCTCGTGTCTCATCCTTGGGGAAGGGGTCGCGATTGGCGCATATAAGACGAAACGGCGACGTCTTATATGGTCCGCCATTACGGGATTACGCCCTGGGGCTACCCCCAGGCGGGGCCATGTCCATAAACGGAATTGAGGTTTGGACATTAACATTGCAGGGGACACCCGATCGGTATTATGAAGGACTGGAGAAGGAGAATAAGGAATTTTCATGGACGAAAACTAAATCAGGATGAGATATTTTTATACTGATTTATTAGCAATAGGAAAAAAGTGTTAATATAAATTAGGCTCATTTAAGCTATTATCATATTTGACAGAACCCACAAAAAAAACTTAAGTGGAAGTAACATTTTGAGTGAATACAAACTTAAATTGTGGCCGTTGTCTGAGTTTAAGAGAGCCATAAAAGTTGAAAGCAACCTATCCTTCAACCCAGTCGCAGTTAAAAAGCCAAGAGTAAAAAACTGAAGGGGAAAAAAAAAAACGATCATCAGGATTATGATAAAGCTGTGACAAGTTTGAGAACATCGAAAAATCAAGCCGACCTTGGACGGTGCATCGATCTGACCATCGACAAATAAGGGAAGATGTTGTCGGGGGGGGTTACAAGTATACCAAGGAGATTGACAACCATTGTCTGTTGGAACGCTTCCACGAAATACGAACATTCTCTATTCCTCGGAAGTATTCCCACACAGACAATGGCACGAGGACGACCATGCATGCGAGTAACTTTATATTCGCTTGTTGTAAGCCAGCCCTTGGGGGAGGACAGGAAGTATGGTTGTATGAATCGCAGCTGTCACATGCGGCGAGGGGGCGGAGGCCTGCGCCTTAAGCCTATCTTGAGAATTGAAGGACACCGTCTGAGAGACCGGGGGGAGGGAACTGGTCTCTCAGACAGTAAAAACTTCCCTCCATTTAATTTTTCTCTGTTCTCACACTGGTTTTTGGGGCTTATCGACGCACCTTGAGAACACGAATAAGGTTCTGAGTTTGAAATTTAAAAAAATTACTTACTGAAAGAAGTCAGAAGATTGAAACTTATTATTTTCAATTGATTAGATGCCAACATCATGAATTTAAGAAGTCTGCCCCTGGAGATATTGCTCCAGTCTCAGACTATTGGTGTTGAGAGAACTTCTTTTGACTCCAAACCGTTTACTTCAAATTTTCTATTGTATCTTTCGAAAACTTATTGATGTGCTTCATCTTCAGTGCCAATCATGAGCTTTTGATAAGAAAGGAGTTCACAAAGGAATGCCTGCAGAGGGGAGGGCATTAACCAACATTGAGTCTAAGTAAATCTTACTCAAGTAAACACTCTTAAATTTATTTTTTTTTCACTCAGATTTTGGCAAGTCACTTATTATTATTTAGAAGTACGTCGCCTCTCTCATATATATACCTCATCTAGTGTGCCTTTACGCTAGCAAATACTCCGTCGAAGGAAGAGGAGGATGACTTATATGCACATAATATACACGTATTCTTTGCGGCTTGAAATTTTTTATAGGAAGTTTTGGTAGTTCCCACTCATTTCATCATTCAGGTCTCATCCTGCCAATTTGAAGGAACGTTCGACCCGAGTGAAATCTAAAGATGCCTTCTCGAGACCCCCAGATTCACTACACCAAGGTAATCCCGAGATTTCCGTATGTATGACCTATGTATATTTCCATATGACTTCTCAAATGATTTGAAAATTTCTTTACATTTCAATTCCAACAGCTGTTCATCAACAATGAATTTGTGGATGCAGTGAGCGGGAAGACCTTTCCAACCGTAAACCCTAGCAATGGAAAGGAGATATGCCGCGTGGCCGAGGCAGACAAGGTGAAGTGACGCCTAAGTCTTTATAAAGAAACATGTAAATTACAAAAAGTCGCCTGCTGAATCATTCTTCTGACCTCCCTTTACCAGGCGGATGTGGACAAGGCAGTCGAGGCAGCGCGCACTGCCTTCAAGCTGGGCTCACCCTGGCGCACCATGGACGCGTCTGCAAGAGGAAACCTCATGCTCAAATTGTCCGATCTCATCGAGCGGGACAAGGATTATCTTGCCTCTCTGGAGACGCTGGACAATGGAAAGCCCGTGGGTGACTCTGCCTTTGACATCAACATGGCCTTGGGGACTCTCCGATACTTTGCCGGCTATTCAGACAAGATCCATGGGAAGACGATCCCTGTCGGTCTGTGTCGTCTTATAATCATATTGTACCTGACAAGGGCTTGCTATAGCTGGACGGCTTGAAGTATTGTGTGAAGAGTCGAAGAACTCGAAGAACAAGGAATTAGTTCTGATACGTTAGCCGGAGATTGAGAATCTGGGGTCTCAATCCTACATATTGTGATAGTCTAGATCAGTGGTTGGGAATCTTCTTGGCCATGTGAGCCATATTAAGATTGATCTAAGTGCTCGTGAGCCAAAGCTTTTTAAAGCACCAAACTTTCCTGAAGTTGGCATTAGACATGTGCATTCTTTGATACATGAGAAAAATGAGGAACAACCATGATTTTTAGCCGTGGCTCATGTGCCTAAATTTTCGGCTCATGAACCGTAGGTTCCCGATCCCTGGTTCTAGATTATGTCGCACCAATCTAAGGCTGATTTCGGATTCCAGATAAAAATTTATTCACCTATCAGAATACGATTGCCTCCTTTTCTCATTCATGAAGTAAGTTCTGTAATCATTATTGGGTGCATGTCATCGCTGAGCTTAATTACAGTGCAGGATACTCATTCTTGAGTGTCAAATGCTGTCTGTATGAATCTATAGGAAAGGGAATCGGGTGTCTTTTGTCGCAAGGTACAAAGCATGTATGATTCATGCAGATGGAGACCTCATATCTATGACGAAGTTACACCCGGTGGGCGTGGTGGGCTCGATCATTCCCTGGAATTATCCCATCTTGATGCTGGTGTGGAAGTGGGGACCGGCCCTGGCTGCCGGTTGCACCATCGTCCTCAAGCCGGCCGAGCAGACCCCTCTCACGGCGCTCTACATCGCTCATCTCGCCAAGGAGGTAGGTTTATCTGATGGCATTTCATTTCGTGGTTGCTGATTTAGCCATTGAGTGGTGGACCATGAAGGAAGGGTTAAGGCCTTGAATTTTCCAATAAAATATAACATCACAATTTATATTGCTACAAGTGCAGCTGGTGATTGCTATCATAGCACAAAACAAATTACGCCAAAGAAAATTTTTTTTCTTCTGCTTCACAGAAACCACAAGGTGGTCGATTAATCTGTGATGGTAATTGTCATACATGGAAATGAGAAATTTGTTTGGAATATTTTCTGACGCACTACTTTGCCCTACCAGGCCGGTTTCCCCCCAGGCGTGATCAACGTGATCCCCGGCTACGGCCCCACAGCTGGATCTGCCATCGCCCACCACCCCCACATCGACAAGGTGGCCTTCACCGGCTCTGTCGAGGTCTGTTCTGTTTCCACTGTCTGAATAATATTTCTTCGCAATCTGGGAGGGCCAATACCGATTAACTGGAATCCAGGACGTCGTCTGGGCAACAGAGCAACTAGAAGTGAATGCTTGATTTGATTTCAATCAGATTTTTAATTCTTCATTGTGAGAATTGTTTTGTAATGTTTGCAAATGAAATCCTGACTTTAAAAGGTTTTCGAATTGGTTTGACTTGTGGCTCTACAATGATTTAAAATCACATCATATTCTATGCTAAACCCATAGGAAGTCGGCTATTTGTGTATAATCAGGTATCACTTTTTATTTTTTATTTTACAGAATTTCTGTTTGAAACTCATGAAACTTTCTTCCTCAAGGTTGGGAAGCTGGTAATGAAAGCCTCAGCAGAGAGCAACTTGAAGCGAGTTACCCTGGAACTGGGAGGGAAGTCACCACTCATTATCTTATCTGACTACAACCGTAAGTCTCTTTTTTTTTGGTCAAGGGGAGAATTATTGTAGACCATTTAACAGGACTATTTCAAGTATTCCTGATTGCCCTGTAGTGGACGAAGCCGTGTCCATCAGCCACGAAGCAATCTTCGCCAACCATGGGCAAAACTGCTGTGCAGGATCGAGGACATTCGTTCAAGCCGAGATCTACGATGCGTTCGTGACCAAGGCCAAGCAAAAGGCATTGAGCCGAAAGGTCGGCGATCCCTTCCAGGATGGCACTATGCAAGGACCACAGGTTGGTCACGTTCTAGTTCTTTAATCATGCACGTCATCAACGACGTTATGAGATGCATTGTTTCTGAACATTTTGGCCATTCAATCACCTTTCTTCACGTACCACCTGCTGTGGTGCTTAACAGTGATGAGGCTACGCTGATGTGCAATAAGCCTAGGTCTGTACACTCAATGTCCACAAAATTAAAGATACCTCACTAGTAGCGTGTTGGACCGCCTTTGGCCCTCAAAACAGCATCAATTCGTCGTGGCATGGATTCCACGAGGTGCTGGAAACGTTGTGGAGGTATCCCGGCCCATGCTGCTAGCACAGCGTCACTCAGTTGCCGATTTCTGAACTCAAAATTCCAATGGCTACTTTATCAAGTTCAAGATTTTTAACACGTTGGCGACAATGCGTCCTGATGCCAGGACGCATTTTTTGACAAAAAAATGCGCGTGGTCCCACGCGGCGGACAAGCAAAAATAGGCTGGTCGTCAACGTGTTAACTTCTCTAGAACATGGTTAGAATTAGCGTCAGTCACTCACGATTGTCTATATAAATTGGATATTAGATTCATATGTACACTCAATGTCCACAAAATTGGAGATACCTCACTAGTAGCGTGTTGGACCGCCTTTGGCCCTCAAAACAGCATCAATTCGTCGTGGCATGGATTCCACGATGTGCTGGAAACGTTCTGCAGGCCCAGGCCCTATCCCGGCCCATGTTGCTAGCACAGCGTCACTCAGTTGCCGCTTGTTTGATGGCAGTACAGGCAAGTCCCGCACAGCCCGTTCCACCTCATCCCAAAGATGTTCTATTGGATTGAGATCAGGGGACTGTGCGGGCCACTGGAGCAAGGTAAACTCCTGGGCATGTTCCTCGAACCGATCCATGACGATACGGCCCTTGTGGCACGGTGCATTGTCCTGCTGAAAGTATCCATCTGCTAAAGGGAAAACGGTGGTCATAAAGGGATGGACCTGATCGGCAACGATGTTCAGGTATGCCGTACTCTTCTGAAGACCTTCCAGGGGTATGAGGGGACCTAGGGTTTGCCAACAGAACACACCCCACACCATCACAGAGCCGCCACCAGCCTCCAGCCTGTAATGTTGACACCAAACAGGAGGGGTCCATGGATTCATGTTTCCTGCGCCACATTCGCATCCTCCCACCGGCGAATTGCAACTGGAACCGGGATTCATCTGACCACGGAACCTTTTTCCACTCGGCAATAGTCCAGTGACTATGCTCTTTTGCCCAGAGAAGTCTCGCTTTCTTGTTTTTGTCCGACAACATTGGCACACGAACTTTTCTTCTGCTGTTGTAGCCCATCCGCGCTAAAGTGCGACGGGTTGTGTGCACGGATATTCTTTTCGGGACACCAGCGTTGAATTTTTCCATGATTTGGCGTACTGTAGCCCGCCTGTCAGCCAAAACGATACGTGACAGCCTTCTCTGACCTCGAGCATCAACAAGGTTCTGCCGTCCACAGGATACCCTTGCAGCCGTTGTTTTTCGCTTATCACACCATTCACGGTATACCCGTGAAACTGTAGCACGTGAAAAGCCTAGCAGTTTCACGGTTTCCGCGATACTCAAACCAGCTAGTCTGGCACCAACGACCGTTCCAAGCTCAAAGTCGCTGAGGTCTGTTAATTTGCACATTCTACAGTAAAAACACACACACTAAAGCAGGGCTGCCCGATTTAGGTCACAACCAAACCTAGTCAAGAAGGAAGTCAAGAGAGTTAGTGATATCAAGAGGAGATTTCGCCCATTTCGATATCACATGTCGAGGTCGAGCGTTCCTTAACTTTAGGGTAGGCCTAACCCTCTTCAAGCTAAATATTTTTGTATTTTTGTTTTGTTTTGTTTTTGTTTCTTTTGTTTTTTTTTGACTATCGAACACCGAAATCTCTCTCTCCGTTTGCATCATCCAATTTAACATCGCCGATTCTTCTCAACGAGAAGCGGGTTCCACGCTAAGTATGACAATGACCACACAATGCCAACGAGTTCCTTATTAGATAAAAGAAGGGCAAGAACCGCAAAAAGTTTCGAAGACACACAAAAGCGGTAACTACGCAACGTGCAAAATTGGATTCATCAAAGCCGTTTTTAGGCACTCCCGTTGTAAGCCCTCGCTACCTTAACGTTATGCCAAGTATGAAGGTGGCTAGTATTAGTATTGATGGTACTCTGTTACGCCATGAACCGTTTTCACCAACTTGACATCACTGGACCGGCACCACGTTAACCCCGGGACCACGAATGGTTATCCTCACATGTTTTCTGTTTCTATTTAATTTTAAGGAAGGTGAAATGAGGCAATGACTTTGACATGAGGTATGTTTGAGGTTTATCTTCTGGAACGTTTCATTGGAGATCATTCGATATTGTGGAGAAGCATCACAGTTCAGCCTCTGAAGGAAAACTCGCATCAGGAATTTTAAGTCCATACTAACAGTAATAAATCAATTCAGCCTAAAATAAAGTAGAATGAGCCAGTGTTCAGTGTTGGTCATTTTAATATTTAAAGGCAAGCTCGTATTTCTGCCGATAGCTAGACACCAAATGCTATGTCCATGTCGTATATCTTGTTGACCGAGCCGAGATATGGGTAAAAGTTGGCTTGATGTGTCTTCCCAGTAGGGCAACTGTTAGAAGTTAGAAGTTAAGTTGCGAAACTTTTTGCGGTTCTTGCCCTTCTTTTATCTAATAAGGAACTCGTTGGCATTGTGTGGTCATTGTCATACTTAGCGTGGAACCCGCTTCTCGTTGAGAAGAATTAAAAATTAGTATTTTAAATTCTTCTCAACGACTGCTATTTGGAGCTTTTTAAAATCTTCCATCGGGTACATCCAAGGGGAAGGAATATGGAAATATACCAATGAAACAGCAGAAATATGCAGGTGAAGATCAAGGAAATATCCTTACACTGGACACATCGTTCCTTCATGGCAGGTTGACGACGAGCAGTTCAAGAGGATCCTGGAAATGATCGCTTCAGGGAAGAAGGAGGGCGCCAAGCTGGAGTGTGGAGGAGACCGCCACGGAGACTCGGGCTACTTCATCCAGCCGACTGTCTTCTCGAACGTCACTGACAACATGCGCATCGCAAAGGAAGAGGTCTCATCTTCTTGCCTCTCTCCTTGGAAAACCTGAAATTGTCAGGAAATTCGGAACAGAGTCCAAAAGTGGTATTGTTAAAGGGTATCGCACCAATTTCTTGAAAATCAAGAAAACCGGTCGTACCGAAAAACGCATGTTCTCATTAAGGAAATTATTTTAACGTCCTCAAAGGAAATCGGGAAAGTTACGGATTTTTATTCAATATTTTGTGAGAACCCTTCTCTATTGATGGCATTCTTTCTCTTCAAAGAACAAGCTGATTCATTTTTGCAAAATCGCAAGTTTCGATGGGTCTTCATCCAGGAGTGAAATGGCAATGAATAATTTTTTGCCATCATTGTGTGGATGTCACAGCCAAGATTGTGTCATGGACCGTTCTTACTCTCTTTGCGATTGTCCTCTGCAGATTTTTGGACCGGTACAGAGCATCCTCAAGTTCAATACTCTGGAGGAGGCGATCGAGCGAGCCAATGCAACGAGCTATGGCCTTGCTGCTGGCATTATCACCAAGGACATCAACAAGGCCTTGACATTTGCCCATAGCGTTCAGGCCGGCTCGGTCTGGTGAGAATTCCTTCCTTCCTACCGAGAGTCATGGTATTTGTAGTACATATTAAGATAGGGAATATACATTTTTAAAAAGTAATGACCATATATTTAATTTTTAAAAATAAATATTCTAAGTGCTCATTCATATTCATTCTGCTACTGCAAGGACCCGAAAAAAGTTAGACTGCAATTTCAAAAATTGAGCCGAAAATATTGCCTGTTGAGGGTTTCTTATCATCCTTCAGAAACTATTTTGGGGGAAAAAATATTGTCCCATTCTTTCCGTAAATAGTTTCTTTTGCCATATAAAAATTTCAGTCCCTTTCAGTCTGTGGATTTCAGTCCCGTAAAGGACATTAATCAGACAAGTTTCATGTGATAATTTTAAAAATAAAAATGGATTTGTTTAATGTTGAACTGTTTCCTGTGTTTCAGGATCAACTGCTACGATGCAGTTAGTACACAGGCTCCGTTTGGTGGCTTCAAACAGAGTGGGCAAGGTCGAGAACTGTGAGTTTCCTTTTTCTCCATATGTTTATTGTTAGATTGAGATTATACCAATAATTTATGTTTTAAAATGCCCGTTTCCCCGGGACAGCGGAGAGGACGCGCTGAAGGAGTATGTGGAGATCAAGACTATCACGATCAAGGTCCCCCAGAAAAACTCGTGAACGTGTCGGTGCGGGAAATTGTTTCTTTCTAGTGCCAAGTTTAGTACATCTTTATTTTGTTTTATATGGAAAGAAGCACTTTCAGAATCTCTGCTTTCATTGATTGCTGTTTCCCCATTAATGCAAGAAGTCACTGCCGAATACATTCAGCGCTTGCTGAATGCATGTGCATGCATTTCACAACTCAATACACGATTCGCACTACTCGAGACCGAAGGCACTCAATACATTCAATACTGTACAGGGTGACCCAAAAGTCCCTTACTATTTTTGGTATGGACCCGTGGCAGAAAGATAAAACGGCGGACATGGGCTCCCATACTGGTCTTGTTTGCAAAACTTGTCACCCGTCCATCTTCCGACCCCGCAGTAAGAGGGTGGAGGACGATGCCGCGACCCGCATGCCCACCGCGCTCATCAATCGAGGCTGTTCCCCGACCCTGGCAACACGTTCACTACAGAGGAGCAAATCGAGATTGTAACCCTACGTCTTAGCGGTCGGAGTTGCATGGACGTCGGTTCCACAAAGCAGAGCCATTAGAGTTCACCATTGGGCAACTAGCCGATAAGTTTTGGAACCTGTGTCGTGTTAAAACATCGCCTGGAGATTAGTGATGGTCGTCGTGTTCTGTTGATATGTTTTTCTGGATCTTTTTGTTAAAGACCGTATGGGAACCCACGTACGCCGTTTCATCTTTCTACCACCACTCCTTCCCAAAAATAGAGACTTTTGGGTCACCCTGTATAGCAAAATCACTCCGCCTCTTTCCATCACTACTGATGAAGGCATTAATGCGAAGACATTTTGCACAAGTATTAGCCAGCAGAACATGGATACAAAGCTCGAAGGGCTTATGCCATTTTTAGAACTCCCTCTTTGAATGCATTATTGATTCCATTTTGATTTTGCCCATCTTATTCCACCTTTTGTTTTTGGTAAATTAAAAAAAAACGACCATACAATTTCAATACGTTGGCAGCAAGAGATGCATCGCGATGTCGCGAGATTTTTTTTAAGGCAGGAGCAAGAATAAAGTAATAAATAAATAAATTATGCTGTCCCTTTTTGTGCGAGGGGACCGTGAGTCGGAAGCCACTCATACCCAAGCTTCCACCTCAAGACTCGGACCGAGAGCGTCTTTTGGATTCCATTTTGCCCTGAACGTGCCCATCTTATTTTTTCCTTCGCCTAAAGGGGCAAAAATGCAGAATTACTTCCACGAGGTTCTGACATGCGTGACTCACGCGTGAAATGGTACACACGCGCACCTTTAATTGCGGCCTCACTCATTTGAACATTTACCGACCCCTCAGCTTTTGGCACACGTGAAGGAAATTCACCCATGCAAAAAGTCATTAAGATGCGAGCACGTAGTCCCGATGCTGAAAAGTGTATTTTGTAATTCGTTTCGCTCACCTCGCAGCAAAGTATTTCCCTAAGAGATTGTCCCCGAGGAAAGGGACTCTTGCACTGACTGATTCTGGAACAATAATGGGTCTTCAATGCAACTCTTTTGAGGTGATACGGACTTTCCCCCCTCCCTTTCAGTCACCTCTAGGGTTGTGATCCCTTGGCAACCTGGCCGATGTCGGCGCTCAAAATCCACCAGGTCTCGACACACCATAAACATGCCTGTGGAAGAGTCAGGGAAGCGCGAAGGAAAGAAAAACACGAAAAATCCGATTGACAGTCCGCGAGCAACTGACGCCACAGTCTAAGTACGCCTTGTTCCGCATCCGTCGCTGGAGAAATGAGGAGGATCACGAAGAGAAAGGTGAAATATGTGAAAACGTGTCGGCCTTCCCATACATGGTCAGCTTGTCATATATTGTCCTAGCCCAGTAGAAAAAATAAAAATGAGTCCATAAAAAAATAAACTGGAAAGTCGATCGCTTATCGGAGGTGGGTGTCCTTGGTCCTTCGAGAGTCCTTGGTGCTCCTAGGCACCCGTACTGCAATGATCCAGGAATGCCAAGTGGATATCACATGCTCGCGCATCAAAGTAAGATCAGATCTTACATCTGAATTAGTGCACCGTTGAAGTGAGCCAAGATCCAGCCGCACGGGTGGGAGTGCTCGTTTTTGTTGTCCCTTCCTGTCAGTGGGCTGTTGTGCGTCCGTGTGTCGATGCCTTTGGTGTTCGGACGATCTGATTTCAGTGAAAATTGATGTGCCGGGTGGGTATGGACAAGACACAAGCTACGTCTGATTCGCTTTTTGGGGACGAATTGACGACTCGAGGCTCCAGCAACGGTGACTGCAGGGAAAAAAAAAGAAGATTGCATTAATTTATCAGTCACATTATACGCTTCATTGACTTTCCTTGATTGCTTTTTTCCCTCCAGTCAATGGTTTGATAGCTTGCCTTTCGGTTGCACCGCTGTTTTGCAATACAATAAAATTATCTATTTTCCAAATGACAAGAGAGCGAATTACGCCACCTCCTCCCCTTCTCGCCCTCCGAACCTACATGCCCCCTCAAATTATACCTTCCCTGGTTTTTGATTGACCAGGCCATTTGGTGCCTGGAATACGTTCTTTGCACGCCTGCTTCCACTATGGAGGATCACAGTCTCACGCCGTTCCTCAAAAAGCGAATCCTGCTTCAAGGTTGTGACCAGCTGGCTCGACGGGTGGATTCCGTTGGAATACCGAGACCAGACTGGGGGAGGGGATCCTAGGTCAGCACTTAATTAATGATTCTCCAAGCATTGATCGTTAGAAATACGAGTTTATGCAAATGAAACTCGTCATATTTATAGTTACGGGTCCCTTTCCTAGATTCTGTCGATTGAAGCGAAAAAGGAGTTGTGAAGGCTGCATGCATGCTTCAAAGGTAAGAACTCGACATTTAAAAATATTTAATCCCAGGATGCAATTGATCCTGAGACGGAGTCGTATCCTGCTAGTGATCGCTCCAGACCGACATAAAAAAGTTGACGAAAGTGTATGCCAAAACGTAATTTGCATAGTCGAAATCAAGGCTTAAGGCTCCGAAGGTGGGTGATGCGTTACCCCATTGCTTCTTCATGGAATCCCCCTTTAGAACGTTGACTCTCCTTCCAGGGCATTTTTTCTCAGGCCAGGCAACTGGTCTCATCCCGTCCTGAGATGTTACAAGACTCTGGCGGAAAGCCCGAAGAAACCCATTCGAGATATCAAGGTCCTCCACACAAAGGTAAGACGTGTAATGGGGGTGTCGCACGATGGGGACCGTGAAGACAAAATTTCCATTCCGACAGCTGTTCATCAACAATGAGTTTGTGGATGCAGCGAGTGGAAAGACCCTTCCAACCATTAACCCCTGCACTGGAGAGAAGATTTGCAGTGTGGCAGAGGCAGACAAGGTGAAATGACGCTTAAGTCTAAAAATAAATCACCAATACAAAACGTCGTCAAGCTGAATCATTCCTCTGCCCTCCCTTTCTCAGGTGGATGTAGACAAGGCGGTTGAGGCAGCGTGCACTGCCTTCAAGCTGGGCTCGCCCTGGCGCACCATGGACGCGTCTGCAAGGGGAAGACTCATGCTCAAGTTGTCCGATCTCATCGAGCGGGACAAGGATTATCTCGCTTCCCTGGAGACGCTGGACAATGGGAAGCCCATCGGCGACTCTGTCTTCGACATCGACGTGTCTGTGGGGACCCTGCGATACTTTGCCGGTTACGCGGACAAGATCCATGGGAAGACGATTCCTGCCGGTTCGCGTCATGAGTTGCATAGAATGGCTGAAGTTCATATGCTTAAGGAATTTTGAAACAGCAGGAACAACTTCTGTCACCTTCACATCTATTTAGGTTGTTCGGAAAGTAATGTTTTTATCACATCAGTTTTCAAATATAACTTTTTATTCAAAATTTCAAGTTTAATCAACAATTCGATGGGAGCAACTCAAGTGTGGATAATGCCTTTCACGTCCAACCAAACGCTCAACATGACCTTTGGGTGCAGTCCGGCTTTGAGATGCTCCCATCGATAACAGCCGATCTCTATGTTCAATAACTGCACCACCTGCAACAAGCCCTGCTTCAAAAGCGGTCCACTTTGGTCAATCGAAATGGTGTCATCTTCCTGCACGACAACGTTTGACCTCATCTCTCAAAAATTGCTAAAGAAAAAATAATCGAGCTTCAATGGGAAATTCTGCCGCATCCACCTTATTCACCGGTCCTTGCGCCTACTGACTATAATTTGTTTCGGTCACTTCAAAGCCATTTAAATGGGAAACAGTACAACAAATAGAGGCTCTCCAATCTGATCACACCACGTTCTTTGCTTCAAAACAGGCTGATTTTTATGAAAGTGGAATAAAAAAAGCTGAAAGAAAGATGGGAAACAGTCGTTGCAAGTGATGGAAATTACATTGTTGATTAAACTTGAAATTTTAAATAAAAAGTAGTAATTGAAAATTGATGCAATAAAAACATTACTTTCCGAACCTATCATGTCCGTATTAAATGCCTGATCGTGTTTTACCATGATACTGAAGATCAGGATGATACAGATCAGGTTGCAAGTGTTTATTGATCAAGATATGATTGGCTTATTTCTTTAGGTCTTTCTTTAGGTCTTTAGGTCTTTTCGTTCACTAATCACTGCAAGGTTAATGTCATTGCTTGATAAATCTGCAAGACAGAATAGTAACTTGCGATGGTTACTAATGCCTTGGCAGTCTTCAGAAACGGTGAAAATATAACTTAAGGTGAAGACCAAACCGATTTCTACTGCTGCTTCATGCAGATGGAAACTTCATATCGATGACGAAGCTGCACCCGGTGGGCGTGGTGGGCTCCATTATCCCCTGGAATTATCCCATCTTGATGCTGGTGTGGAAGTGGGGGCCGGCCCTGGCTGCCGGTTGCACCATCGTCCTCAAGCCGGCCGAGCAGACTCCTCTCACGGCGCTCTACATCGCTCATCTCGCCAAGGAGGTATGTTTATCTGATGGCATTTCATGTCGTGGTTCCTGATTCAGCCATTGAAATGTGGACCTTCAAAGAAAGGTGTTAGGTGGGAACACTGGGAATTATCAAATAATGAGTAAATTTACAATTTGAATCACTACAAATGCAGCAGGTGATATATCAGAGTTCGGATCGAATAAAGCAAAAGTGGGAGTCTTCCCCCCTCTGTTTAGTGAAAAATGTTAGCAAAACAAGCTATGTGGTCCACATGGTACCAAAAAAAAAATACGAATAACCTGTCATGCATGATGTGAAATTGGTTTGGAATATCTTCTGACAGTACATTTCCTCACCAGGCCGGTTTCCCCCCAGGCGTGATCAACGTGGTCCCCGGTTACGGCACAGCTGGAGCTGCCATCGCCCACCACCCCCAAATCGACAAGGTGGCCTTCACCGGCTCCGTCGAGGTCTGTTCTGCTTTCACTCTCTCAACAAGATATCTTCACAGCCTGAGAGGGCCAATACCGTTTAACTGTATTGGCCCTGCCTAAATTGGCGTCATGGGGCAACAGAGGCATTGGAGGTGAAAGAGTGAATTCACTTTAATCAGATATTTACATCGTTGGCTTGAGATAGAAAGCCAATAATCTGATTAGAAAGCATTTTTGAATTGATTGGAATTGTGGTTTTACAATGATCTGAAATCACATCTGAACACATAGGGAATCAGTTATTAGTGTATAACATTATATCACTTTTTATTTGTTATTTTACGGCATTTCTGCTTGAAAATCATGAAACCTTCTCCCTCAAGGTTGGGAAGCTGGTATTGAAAGCCTCAGCAGAGAGCAACTTGAAGCGAGTTACCCTGGAACTGGGAGGGAAGTCACCACTCATTATTTTGTCTGACTACAACCGTAAGTCTCATTTGCTTTGGTCAATGGGGAGAATTATTGTGGACCATTTAACAGGACTATTTCAAGTATTCCTGATTGCCCTGTAGTGGACGAAGCCGTGTCCATCAGCCACGAAGCAATCTTCGCCAACCATGGGCAAAGCTGCTGTGCAGGATCGAGGACATTCGTTCAAGCCGAGATCTACGATGCGTTCGTGACCAAGGCCAAGCAGAAGGCACTAAGCCGAAAGGTCGGCGATCCCTTCCAGGATGGCACTATGCAAGGACCACAGGTTGGTCACGTTCTTGTTCTTTAATCATGCACGTCATCAACGACGTTATGAGATGCATTGTTTCTGAACATTTTGGCCATTCAATCTCCTTTCTTGACGTACCACCTGCTGAGGTGCTTAATAGCGAAGTGATGAGGCTACGCTGATGTGCAATAAACATGGGTCTGTATATGCAATTGCCACACGACTTGGAAATAGTTTCCTTTTTTGAATCTCTTGTATTGTTGAAATTGCGAAGCGAATTTTCTCCACCATCCCTTAGTTAACCAACTGATTTGATCCTGTGAACGAACGAGGGGAGTTGGATGAATAAATTCCACATGTAACAGGTCTGTGAGGTACGGGTAGGGTTTTTTTTTTTTTTTTGCGGCGCAGGTACTAATGTCGAAGACACACAAAAGCGGTAACTACGCAACGTGCAAAATTGGATTCCTTAAAGCCGTTTTTAGGCACTCCTGTTGTAAGCACTCGCTGTCTGTGCGTTATATGGCGTGTTAACGGTGGCTACCATTAGTATCCGTGAAATTCTCTAACGCCATGAACTATTCCCACCAACTAGATGTTACCGGACCGGCAACCCGCGGAAATGGAAATGTACAATGGAAGCAGCGGAAATGTGTAGGAGCAGACTAAGGAATTATCCTAATATGGGATTCCCCCTCTATGGCAGGTGGACGACAAACAATTCAAGACGATCCTGGAAATGATCAATTCAGGGAAGAAGGAGGGCGCCAAGCTTGAATGTGGAGGAGACCGCCACGGAAATGTGGGCTATTTCATCCAGCCGACTGTCTTCTCGAACGTCACTGACAACATGCGCATTGCAAAGGAAGAGGTCTCATCTTCCTCTCGCCGCTCCCCTTAACAGGGATTCCCATAGGCTTTGAAAACCTGAAATTGTCAGGAAATTCGGAACATGGTCCATGGATTTTGACTCAGTATTTTGCTGGAACCATTCTCTATTGATGCCATTATTTCTCTTGAAAGAACGAGCTGATTTATTGATGCAAAATCGCAAGTTCAGATTTCGACGCAGTTTTATCCAGGAACGGAATGAATCATTTATGTGTAATTGCTGAATGGAAGATATCACAGCCAAGATTGTGTCACCTTGACCGTTTTTATCCTCTTCGTGATTGTCTTCTGCAGATATTTGGACCGGTACAGAGCATCATCAAGTTCAATACTTTGGAGGAGGCGATCGAGCGAGCGAATGCAACGAACTATGGCCTTGCTGCTGGCATCATCACAAAGGACATCAACAAGGCATTGACATTTGCTGAATGCGTTCAGGCTGGTTCTGTCTGGTGAGAATTTCGTCCTCTAATGGAGTCACGGTATATATTGTGTATATCGAGACAGGGAATATACATAAAGAAAACTCATGAAACTACTTTGAAATATTTCATGTGAGAAAATTCTGTGCTCTTTCATATTCATTTCACTACTAGAAGGACCGGGAAGAAAAGTTTCTAGAATTCAATTTCCAAACATGAGCCTGAAAATTTGCTGTAAATATTTAACTTCCTTTAGTAGCAGACTTCATGCAGTGGCTAATATATTGTCCTATTACATAAAATTCCTTTCGCAGTGGAAAAAAATTCCGCAAATTTTAGTCCCGTGAATGTTTTTATTCAAGTTAGCAACATGTGGTCATTCTAACCCTTTAGTGCATGACGTCGCAGATATGCTACATATCAAATAAACATTTTTAGAATGCGCAGGTAGAGAGCTCCTGAGATAAATCTGTGCGTTCGTAGCAGATGTGCAACAGTCCACCGCGTCACCGTGGCTCAGTGGATAAGGCCCGCACGCAGGAGGTCCAGGTTCGAATCCGACCGGCGGAAGCGATGTGCAGTGGGCCTATGGCCGGAGCGGCATCGAAGTTGCCACCACCTTCCCCGGGCCCGTGAAAACGGGATAACGGGATACATTATGACAGGAAGCGTGGGAAGGTGGAGCAATGCTATATATATATACTGTATATATACAGTATATATAGAATTCCCTTTCCTCTACTGTGTCGCCGCTTGTGTTGTGCCGCATTTGTCCTTGTCTGTGTATGTCCGTCCCAGTCCACTTCTTTTTTTTTTTAAAAAGATGCGCAACAGTCCGGTCCCAGAAAGCCAACGTTTATTAGGCCAAGCATGGCATATCATCGGCAAAGTGCTTGGACCACCCTAAGCCGCCAACGGTGGGCCAATCCCGTAATGTCTCATCGGCCAGCGGATAACCAATGAATCGGGGCAAGAATGGTTGGCAACGTGTTTGGGCTTTCTTGGTAGCCAAGAAAGGCCCAATATATCTATCCTGCGTGCCAGATATTGCCCAATTACTTTTCTTTCAATATTGGTACTCGATGTACCTGAGCTGAGGCAAGTCATCACTCAAGTGTACCAATACTGGTACACCAGAGATGATGCCCCTCTTTCTTGTGCTAAATAGTATTCACGAAATCAAACCATCAGTCCCGTCGAATAGCCCTGACGAGGCGGTGATAGAGTTCGCAGTTAATAAAACATCATTCCAAAGTTCTTAGGCTCAGTATAGAAGATGATAAGGCGGTTTTTCCTTATTATTATAAAGTTAGGAGCTAAAGGTATGGTGAGCCCCGCTGTCATGTGGTGGACCGACACATGACTCTCGCCCACCATGGTGAGATTCTCCTAACATGAGGGCTGGCAGAGAGCAAGACCCTCATGAAGCTAATGAGAAGGTGACTCATGGCTATGGGGGAGAAGTCAGCCCGAGAGAGAGTTGCTTCCCCCCCAGGATCTCTCCCTTGAGGTTTTTTTTTTATCTTTAGGAGTTAAATTAAAGAGTAAGGAACTATGCGGCCTTATTGAGAAAGCAACCTGAATTTATTTAGGTTAGTATAATTGGTTTGGGGCGCTTAGTATTTAGGTCCACCTGAGCCGAAGAGGAGTGAGATCTATAGGGTCCTAGCCGTTTTTACTTCATGAGTCAGTGAGTTGTGATTTTATTTAAGTCGATATGATATTTATCAGGTTGATTCATTTGAAATGGCGTTTTTTTTGTTTTTTAAAAGTGATAATTTATTCAATATAATACACACTAATCAATAACATATTTTCCATCTGAATCAATAACCTCCTGCCACCTTTTTGATAGTTGCAGGATTCCTCTGGCGTAGAAATCTGCTGACTTTGAAACAAAATAGGCAGCTATTTCGTTTTTGAGATCTTCATTTTCAAATTTTTTTCCTGTCAGATGGTTCTGCATCGAGCGAAACAAATGGTAGTCTGATGGCGCAAGATCTGGAGAGTATGGTGGATGTGCCAAAACTTCCCATTGCAGCTCCCTGATTTTTTGTTTCACAATTCGAGAAGTATGCGGTCGAGCATTATCATGCAGAAGAATGACTCCCTTTCGATTGACCAGTGCCGGTTGCTTTTGAAGTAGCGCTTGGTGTAGTCGGTCCAGTTGTTGTGCGTAGAGATCGCCATCAATCGTTTGGTTCGTGGGAAGAAACTCGAAGTGGATAATCCCTTTCATATTCCACCAGACACAGAGCATGATCTTCTTTGGATGTAGTCCAGCTTTTGGAGTTGGTTCTGGCACCAGGCAGCATTAGCTTGATTAATTCATGAACTCCAAGAATCTCAAATATGAAGATAATTAATTAAGAAATGACGACTTTGATTGATTGCCATTATTAGACATGCAAAAATATATGATGTCGTACTAAGTACTGCTGTGAAGGACGAATCCAGAGAAGGGAGGGAGGGTACTTTTAGGTACTGTCTGGAAATTGATAACCATACTGCCATCTAGTGTTCGAGATGAGAACTTCATTTCTCGGATACTTTCAAGTACAACTGAGGCGCATTGATTTGTCCCTTTCGTTCGATATGGAATCAATGATGGTAGAGCATTATTAGGGAGACATTGCCTGCAGCCAATACTTGCCGAATTTAATTGCAAGCCAACCTAGGTTGGCTTGCAATCAGCTGAAGCCATTTTGCCTATGTTACGCCAATAATAGGAAACCAGCCTAAAGCCATGAATGTATGTCCTCCACCAATGAAGTAACGAAAAATGGCTAGCCAAGCTGGAGCGAGGAATGGGCTAAGCTTGCCTGCCAATGCCAACGATCTGCCGACGTTGCCATAAAGGGGCCATTCTTGGGCCAAGATTTTTGGTAATGAGGGTAGCAACTATGCGGTCGCCAGGTGCCATACACTCCTGGTGTCGAGCAAATTAAAACCAATCTGGCTTTGTCGTAAGGCAGGTGGACGTTCTTGATTTAATTTTCTTAAACTTTACGCTAATCCAGGGTCCAGGCTCATCCGTATTTTTACATTTTCTTTTGTTGAGGTATGTACGAAAGTTGGCGGATCGGCTGAGCTCTCTAGCATCCATGCAGCGTGGGTTAGAAAGCTGAAAATGCTGTTTATAGCAAATGAGCAACAATACAATTTTCAGGGCTACAGCTTGCAAATTTGATCTTAAAAAATTTTTCCACCTGACCCGTGTTCTAGGACGTGAGTGAAACCTACCAGATTTTTTCGCCGAAAAAAAATGTATGCGTTAAAACAATATGTTAAAACAAAACAGATAGAACTGTGACCTTAGCACTGTTTCCCGTGTTTTAGGATCAACTGTTACGATGCCATTAGTGCACAGACCCCGTTTGGTGGCTTCAAACAGAGTGGGCAAGGCCGAGAACTGTGAGATTCATTCCTATCTTGATTTATCTTTAGATTTAATTATTGAAAAGATTGTCACTAATTTCTGCATGAAATACCTTTTTTTTCCGGGACAGAGGAGAGGACGCGCTGAAGGAGTACTTGGAGATCAAGACCATCACGATCAAGGTCCCTCAGAAAAATTCGTGAACGTGTCGGTGCGGGCAATCTCTATTTCTTTCTAGTGACATATTCAAATGTCAGTGTTCATGCCTATAATAAATCCAAATATAGTCTTTCAACTTATGAACACCTACATTTGACAGTGACAGCCACATTACACTTCGTGACAGCAATGTTACACTTTGAAGGAACACAACTCCATTCTGAAGTCCGAATCGCCTGAAATGAACATGCAACGCATTACCGACTAAATTGTTGCGTTGGGAAATCCATAAACACCTCGAATATTTTATTGCTTAAAAATTGTATCATTCTGCACTAATATATCAAAGTGTCACCAATTTTTTCCATATTACCAGAAAAGCTAAACGCATGTCCAACCATCTCAGATGCCGATTCCTGGCTGGAAAAGCATTTTCAGTCAATACAAAAAATTCCAGAATTTAACCTGCGCCAGCATTGTATCACGAAGCCACTTTACGTTTTCCATATTCCCTAAAGAGCTGAAACACAGGTCCATCTATCTATGAAGCCGATTCCTGGCAAGAAAGGCGCTATTCCTGGCAAGAAAGGCAGCACACATACATTGGGCCAACGATGGGCCCATGTTGAAATACGGCATTTGCGATGTAAGCCAGACGTTGGTTCCAAACGTTGGTCAATCGTTGGCTTGTCCCACGGCCCCACGTTGGGCCAACGTCAAATGCCGACGTGAATCATGACATTCAGGGGTTAAAGGAGGTTTCGAATGAGATTGTATTGCAGTATGTAATTGTTCAGCTCCCTTACCATGGGGCTTGTCACCGAGTCTCTCTCTCAGTCTGGCTGTAAGTGGTCCAAGGAATAGTACTTCCTTCAATTGTCATCTTTTGAAGCCTTCACTTTCCATAACAGGATTAGACCCTTCATCCACAATGGAAATACTTGTCCGGCAAGACACAGATGATCAAATCTTTAATCACTCCCAAACCTCGTCAAGGGGTTTCGGACGCAGCCTCAACAATCAAATATATATTACTTGTTTTATCCTCCCCATCTCGAGTGAAACCCCATTTCGAATCATGCTTCAACAACGATTAGAGGCTTTTTGGACTGCTTAATCAGTTTAAAGAAAGGAACAGAGAAATTCGATTGTCTTCACGTTCTTAAGGAAATGGATCAAGTACAGCAAGAAAGGTACAGCGGTCCTAAATAAATAACTCACAGATCCCATTGAAATAATGGCTGCATAGTCGCCATCACACTATGGGAAGCTTTTTAAAATGACTAAGATAAAAGTCACATCTGGAGTTAATAAATGTCGCATCCTGAGACAAATGATGGCTGCCGCCCTAACGCCAATGTGGGACGAAAAAGGGAAACCCACTGCAATTTAGCCCGCTTTTCCCCACTCGCAGCCAACGAGGCCTATCACAAGGGTCGGCAAACCGACCGGCAACCGAATAATATTTTATTAGAAAAGCTAGAGGCATGTCCAACCATCTCAGTTGCCGATTAGAAGCAAAAAGGTCCTGTTTTCAGTCGATAAATGGAATTCCAGAATGTATCAGGTTCCACCAATGTACACAATGTACACACAAATCACAAGGGACGGCTAAAATTTCAATATTGCAAAAAAATCAAGTCATATCGAATCATGTCAGAAGCCGATTTCAGACAAGAATGTCCGTATTTTCAGTCGACACAAGGAATTGAAGAATGTATCCTGTTCCACCATAACATCAGAATTCCATATTTTGCTTTCTCTACTCCCAGAACAAACGTCCATCAAACTTTTATGCCGAATCCTGGCAAGAAAGTCCTTTTTTTCAGTCGACACGAGGAATTACAGAATTAAACCAGTGCAACCAATGTATTACAAGGGTCGCCTAATTTTTCAATTTTAACAGAAAAGCTAAAGGCACGTCTGACCGTCTCAGATGCCGATTTCTGACAAAATGACCTAATTTTCAGTCAACATGAAGAATTCCGGTATTTAGTTCCGCCAGTGTATCACAATGGTCTGTCGATTTTTATATATTAGTAGAAAAGCTAAAGCCATGAAAACCATCTTAGATTCCCATAAGGCTTCCCTCACCAGGGACAATTTGGGCATCGTCATCTCTGTACATGCTGAACGTCGTCTGTTGGCTGCTTGGTCTATAGCTTAGTTGTTACTATAGCTTAGTTCTTAGTTGTTACGAGACATTTTGAGCCAATCATTAACAGACGATGGCGTGTGCAGAGAGACTTCAGCTGGGTTTGTCCTTGAAACGCTTTGACGCTTAGGAGTATTACATAGAACTTGGAAGTACTACCCAATACTCCTAAGCGTCAAAGCGTCAAAAATCTAGCCTAGACCTTCGCTTTTTTTCCTTTATAGGCTTCTTCCGCCTGGACCCCCTTTTTCTGCCTGGCATTTCGCAATAGTTTCGAGGTACCTGTCGGAGGGCTCGCGTGGGTGCTCGGCTGTGGCTGATCAAGGGCTTCTGTCAGTGAATCTATGCCATATGCCAATTATTCTTGACTTTGAAACATTTCATCTGTGCATGATGCTTGCATGATGATGCCACACCAAAGGAAAGATCATACTGGCTCGGCCGTCGCCCAGGATAAAAAGGGCCGCGCTGACTGCAGGTCTACCGATGCAGTCAGTGAAAAGTTCGCGTCCGGAAGCTCTCACATTCTTTTTCCTCACCAAGCAGAAGTGGGAGTAAAGGTAAATGTATCTATGAAGCCGATTCCTGCCAAGAAGGCGCTATTTCCCCGGCAGCACACATACGTTTGGCCAATGATGGGCCCATGTTGGAATACGACATTTGCGATGTAGGCCAGACGTTGATTCCAAACGTTGGTAAATCGTTGGCTTGTCCCACAGCCCATGGTGAAACAACCATCCCTGTCCCAGGGGCCAAGGTCGACACTCGAGTCTCCTCTGCTATAGGAAACATGTCCCCAGCAAGGAAATGGACAAAATCCATGAACACTGATGTCATGCGGGCCTATTACCAAGCACGTTCCGATGTGCCAGGAGCCTACTGGAAGAAAATGCTCGAGCTCTGGAATCGATCTTACTCAGAGCTGAATGTCACCGAGCAAAGACTTGCGAACCAGAGGGTTTATATCGAGAGGAACATGCTCTCGGAACTGGAGCGGGAAAACATCATACAGGAAGTCCTGAACACCCTCCAGCCCGTCATATCAGAACGAGAGGTACCCGAAAACGAGGAGGCAACACCTGAAGAGATCTCAATTCCACCGAGGGCAATTGAAGCTCCCTCAGAGCTAGAAGTTCCTTCTGAAGAACTGAGAAATACCTTCCTCGACCATCTAGAGGACCTGCGGTACCTACAGATGCCCGATCGACCTCGACTAAGACCCCTAAAGCTCAACTGTGCCATCTCCAAAGACATCGAGGAGATCAATCTGATCCTGAAACCTCGCAGACTGCGATCTGACTGAGCTTAATCACCGAACCTTCGCAGCTGCCATTACCATCCATCAGAAATGGCAAGAACCAGAAAAACCGACCCACATACCAGGGAGGTGCCCTTCCTTTGACTTTGACTTCGGAGGCTCCTCTTCCAAGGTGGAATAGATCCACCTTGGAAGAGGAGCCTCCAAAGTCGGATCGATGCAGCAAGGCGAGACCTTAGTACCCTTCAAGAGATCAAGAAGGGGAACACATCCCGGAAAGTGAAATTGACCTACAAGCGGCTGTGCCCCAAGTACAAGATCACCTCCAACTCCGATCTCCCGAACTCCATGGAGAACGTAAAGATGGAGATCCAAGTTTGGGCCCTCAGGATAGGACGGTACANGCAATGCAATTCAAAGTCTTGGGTTCGGTGGTGTAATGGTAACATACCCAACCGGCAACTTGGAGGCCCTGGATTCCCGCCCCCTCCATCGTTTATTTTCGTCCTCTTATGTCATCCAAATTCTTTTCCCTTCCCTAGGGCTATTATTTTCTCCAGAATAGATCGGACAGTCGCAACGGCCAGAAAAAATGCGAGCCCGAGCGAGATGGTTTTACTCTTGGAAGGACGAAAGTGCGCTCTTCATGACGAAGTTGTGAAGTTGCACATGCGAGGACGAAACTGTACGCTCCATGACGGTGTGCAATATCGTCGCGTAAAGTGCAATTACGTCTCGATTGATATACCTAGAGGGCGCTGAATTTGCCTTGAAACTTCCCAATTCCACCGACAGATGGAAGAAACGTTATAATTTTGCGGGTTTTTTTTGTCCCGTAAAAATACCGTGACTTCATTTGAATTTAATATTTCTACTTGACCCTCCTGCCTCAGGACTGTATTTAATGACAAATATTGGACTGATTCAATAGGAACGGAACTTTTGCTGCAGCTCACATAACACTCGTCGAAATTGTTGGCCACTCTGCAGGCATCAACTATGTTCACTTTGCGACTAATGGTAAAAATGGCAGTGGTCTTTCATTTAAGGAACTCAGTTGGTTATAAAAATAAATAGCCATGGTCAGTAACTTTCGGCGGATTTTACTGGAATGCCAGCGCTGGAGCAAAGGGCTAAGGTAAAGCTCTGAAAATCGTTCACTGAGACTCTCGAGCTTTTGCTAAAGATGTACGCACAGATATCTACAGGAAGTACATGTTGTACATACCCTGTAGGTACATTTGCTGCAAAAGCTCGAGAGTCTCAGTGAACACTCCGCTCGAATCCCATTCATTGGCATTGTCGCAATAAAGATGTCGCTGTCGATACTCCACCTAGTTGTGCGACTACATGAGAACAGTTGGACGTGGAGGTAATTGACTAGCAAAGCTAAATGGCAAAGAGTGTCTTCCACGTATTGACTTGGCTGCATCAGACCCGTCGATGCCTCTCACGATCAAACGGCGACAGTTTATAACCCATGCTTGTTTTTGCCATAACTATCGCCAAGAGTCACGTGCAAACATTCATTGGAATTTAATTTTACCTTCTGAACTTGTATTTTCCCACAACTGTGTTTAACTTTCTCAAGAGCACAACGCTGGCAAAACGTTAAAGATAAAGATAGAGCC